GGGGGGAGCTCCGCCGGCAGAAGCTTGGTGAAAGCGCCTCGATACTCGATAGCCGTCGTCGCTATCGGTAAAGGCACAATCACGCGACAGTGGCGGCCAGATGAGCCTCCTCTTACGAAGACGAGAGGCCAGGGCATACCCGTAGTGGGGTGCTGGAGGGGGATAGCCATATTGTCAGTGGTGGGACGGAGACGGACGCCAAGGAACTGTGGCCCGGACTTGAGAGGTAGGTGGTAGGTAGGTGAGCAGGACAGGGCAGGCACAGCCCGATGTCCATGAGGCTTTTATGCGGGCAGGTAGGAAGGCGGACGGAAGAACGTTGGGCTGCAGTGGGCAAAAACGTTGGGCTACACTTGGCAGGGGGAGGTCTGGCTGCCGCGAGGGAAGCAATCGAGCCTCTGGGAAAATGGAAAAGAGCTCAGCTGGCTGCCTCCAATCGAAGCTACTTTATGCAGGAGATTAGGCTTTGCGTCAGGGGAACAGCGCGGGGACTGCTCAGCCGAGGACTCGGCCCAGTCGGGGGCGATGCCCACCGGTTGGTTTTCTCGCAACGGCCGCACCTCCTGCCGCGTTCGCTGACATGACGGACCTCGCTTGACGGCTTCGCGTCTCCCCTTCCCGTCTGCGTGAGTGGTTGCGACCACCGCCCTAAACAAAACGCTCACATGACGGGAAAACCAACCGCAAACCGTGCAAGCTTCAGTGAGGGAGGAGGGATATGAAGCGGAAGAGTAGCGACCCATGTCCTCACCGGGCCGGGCAAAGGCAAAAGGGCAGACGGGACACAGATAGCAAGTCCATTAACCACGTCTCGAGTTTTCTCATGGAAGCCAAGGTTGGTACAGCTGCCACTACCAAAAGAGGAGATATCAGAATAGGGAAGAGACAGGAAGAAACAAACAAAAATGGCAACCAGTATTGCCCCCTGATATCCCAGACCGACCCAAAGCCACATTCCCGAACCCCAAATTGGTTCCCTACCCCAGAGCCTCTACAAAGAAGATGGAAAAGATGGACGAATGACTCCTTTCGCGTACCCCGCCACCCCATCCCTCCGTCCCGTGCATCAACAGATGATGGAGGCCAAGCGTGAACATTGTGTTGGCAGCAAATAGGCAGTATGGAAGAAGAACAATCAAGAGAATAGTGCCATATCCCCATTGGCATACGCCTTCGTAGCTATGATTAGGAGGCGCGGAGCCCATGCCCAAGCAGTGCTAGTGGAAACGGAACGGCGATTAGGGAGAGTAAAGCATGACGAATGGCCAAGGCAAAGAACAAGAAAAATAGATGGATAAATGGTGATGATTCATTCCGATAAATAAAATTGTCCATGACTAGTAACCCATGCAAAACGCTTCCAAATAACAAAGGAGAAGAGGCGTGAGACCCATCCTTTTCGAAGAGCCATGGCGCATTAGTGAGCGGCGGCGTATTCCGGCGGAAACCTTGACATCCCAGAGGACCGGTCTTCCTGCTTCAACGTAGTGTATTCTCTCTTTCTTGCCAGCTCGGTCGCGAGCCAGCAGGCCAGGTTGATGCGCCTCATCTTGTCCTGTACTGGAGCCAGGGCTTTTCGGGATTAATGCTGCGGTCGTCCACCAGTGGCCTGAGGAAACCGTCGACATTTGTGTAATGCTTGGGAAGCGGGCGCGTCTCGGGTCGCTGGCCATTTTTGGCCGACGTGTTGGCCCTATAGAGCCAGTTGGTCGAGACGTCGTCGGGGTGTTGCCGCTTGCCGTTCGAGTTGACGTGCTTCTCGGCCCACAGATACTTGGGGTTGTTGGGATCCAGACATTCTTGCTCCTCGTTCGAACTAGGAACGAGGACCGGCGGTTGCTTGTATATATCGAGATTGGGCGGGGGTGGTGGTGGTATCGGGTGCCCTGCTGCCGCGGCTGTTGGCAGTGGTGGCGCCTGCATCGGATCCTGAGTCACCAATGCGCTGATGCCGGGTAGTTTCAAAGACGCAGAGTTTGTGCTTCTGTAGTCGTCAACCGCCTTTGCGTGCTCATGCACGGACAGTGGCGTCGAGGATCGGTCTCCGTAGTTGCTGGCTATCGACATGCGCCGGCTATCGCTGGAGAAGCTCTCACGCTGTGGCGACGGGTGGTACAGCCGGGCGTCCGAAGGATGTAGCGAGGCTCTGCGGTCCATGTACGGTGGTGCCGGGGTTGGCGGCTGGGGCTGTGCGTAGGCCGAGTGTGCGTGCTGCGAGTACGATGGCGACTGGGGCGGCGCCGGTGAGGCATGGCCGCTGCTCGGTGGTGGGCCGTAGTGCGGGCGCGGAGGAGGAGCTGCATATTGAGGTGCGCCATTGTATCCCATGTGGCTCGGTGGCGGCACTTGTGCTTGAAATCCGGGTGGGGGTGGCCTGAAGTCGGCGTCGGACGGCCTCCGCGAGGGGTCGCCTCCAGTTAGCGGGCCGCGGTCAGTGCTGCCACTCGTTGACCTGCCACGGTAGTCCTTGGGGACAGAGTCGGGTGTCTGCGACCGATGCCGTCTGGGGGCGTCGCCTTCACCAGCGTCACCGGGCTTGCCGTCGCGTCTCCTCATACGAACGTCACGGCGTATCCTAACCCGCGTGCCCTGCTCGGCCATGGTGCGACTGAGCGATGTGCTCGTGGCCAGGCCCGGGAACTTCTTGGCGCTGTAGACGGTGAAGTCGGCCGACTTAAGCTCCATACGCCAGTCGAACGAGGCACCCTGGGGTTCGCCATTGTCAGGGTCCTTGTCCGCATCCTCCTTCGTCTCCTCGTACAAGTTGAAAGCGAGTTTGTAGCGGCCCTCGTGGCGAACCGACAGATCGGGAAACAGAAAGTAGCCGGCCTCCTGGGGTCGGTCGAGGTATGCCATTCCCGAGACGGGCATGCCGGTCAGGACAGGCGTTGTGCTTGCCTGGGGTGGCTGGCCGCGGGGGTGGGCGATGACGCGGGCATTCTCGAGGGTGGCGAAGAGGAAGAAGTTGGCGTTGTAGGTGAAAGTGATGTCACGGGCCTGGTCGCGCCGAGGACCCTCGAAAATGCGAAGCTCGACTACGGGAGGCGGGTCGACAGGGCGACGGTCCGAGGTAGCTGTGCAACGGGTTGGCAACGTCAGTTCAGCTCCTGCTGTTCTCATCGGTCGAGTCCTGCGCCCAGTCTGTGACCTACATTTGGGACCCGATCCGCAAGCGCGCGCCCGCTCGGGCTGCTGAATAACGTCTAGTTGGTAGAACAGGTGACGACCGCCCTTGGTCATGCGCTCGATCATGACAGCTGGGCTCTGCGACATCGTGTCTGGTACCATGGGCTCCATGTTGGCTGAGTTGTGGACGGGCGTGTGCCCGCGTGTTCGTCCCTCTCCCTTTTATTCCACGCCTACTCTGAGGCTTAAACAGTCGGCGCGGGCAAGGAGCAGCGCAGCGGCGCTGGTGAGGGCTCCCTTTGTCTGCTGCGACGACCAGCAATCGTCAAGTTCCCCTCCTCTGTACCGCAATGGTCAGACGAAGGGAGTCGGAATGCGGTTTCCGCCCCGAAAGGGATTGATGGGGTCTGTCCCAGAAAAGAGGGACGACGAGAGCACGGAATTGCTTCCTTCGGGTGCACCAACCGACAAAAAGCAAAGCGATAAAAAAAAGACGGGACCACGATGTGACGACTAGTGTGAGGAACAAACGGCACGGCGGGTGGCCGATTGGGAGTTGAAGAATCTTTGACAGAACGTTAGCGGGCAATTGGCTCGACAGAAGCGAAGCAGCTGTCGATTGTGGTGCTGTCGATTCCAGCTGAGAACGAGCGAATGGGCGAGGTGGAGAGGAGTGGTGTGTGCGGCGGCGCGCGAAAAGGCGAGGGAATGAAAGATAAAGGGTGAGGAGCTGGTAGACGAGGTGGGCAGCAATGGGCGCTAGCTGGCCAAATCTCGGAGGGGACCAGGGAGGGGACCCAGGGCCGTGGACTGGGGGGTGGCCACTGCACCAGGCAGGTGGAATTGCCAGGCGGGAAGCAGATGGGGGGGCAGTCCCGTTTTTTCGGTACCACGGGAAGCAGAGAGTCATGCGGGCGGCAGGGATGGCAGCAGACTGACACATGGAAAACCCACACCTCGTCCTCGACAGGAGTGTCTTTTCCTGAGGCAGCTGCTAAATGCTACGCCCGCTCTTGCTCTACTTTTGACTTTTTTTTTTTTTTTGCCAGCAAACCTAACCATGCTGACCAAACTGTCTGCAGAAAGAGTTACGGGCAAGCTCTGCATGATGTCTGCCGGGGATCTGGGCATATCAACCGCCTTGCAGTAGCGCCTTCAGTCTCTCGGGACTGGACGGTGGGATAGTCAGAGTGGGAGCGCAGGCCCGCCAGGCTGGAGTGTCGTGGATGGCTGTGCGTTTGCTGCTGACGTGCGTGCCCCGTCCTTGGGCGCGGCAGCAGGGGATCGCCGCACCCTGGAAAGCAGGACGCGAGCACACAAGCCGTCGGCATGATACAAAAAAAAAGAAAGAAAAAAAAGAAAAGAGGCTGCGTGCGAGTGGGCTGGGGCGAGTGGTCGCCGACATGCGGCGGGACCAATGGGCGTGGCACCGCAGCAGGAACCGATCGCTAAGATGGCTCCGCGTCCAAGGGACTCGAATAACTAGTAGGTATGGCCCAACCAAAACGAGACGAGCCCCTGTGCCTTCGTCGCCTGATTTGGACTAGACCAGGCCGGCAAGGCTCAACCGAGATGCGCAAGCCTTGCCCGGTGCCACGATAGACAAACTACGCGGGATCGCCATGCGAGATGGGAATCGAGCTGTGGTCGCATGCCAATATTGTTCCATATGGATTATCTCGGGCGAGGAGCGGTTTCTTGTTGGTGGAGGTTTGTTTGCGTGCTGTTTTTATCCTCTACAATTTAGGTCCTCTTCCGCCAGCCAGCTGGGAGCTATTGGTGGGTGACGGAAAAAGAACACAATCCTCCCGGAGAGTGTCTTTATTGGTCCCATTGGCGGGCCCATGCTTCCTTGCTCCGGCAAGAGCTCGGGCTGCTGGGTTCATCCATGCATCACTGCAAGAAGATGCTGTGGAAACCTCCTCGTGGGCGGGGAAGCAGAGACAAACAGACGGGTCGGCCAACCACGGGGCGCGAAAAGGCCCAAGGTGGACACCAGCAGTGGCCAATTGGAAACATGGAGTCACCACATCGCGCAGGTGCGGGCCCGCCGGGTCCACTGGGTCCTCCCTCGGCCAAGGCATCGGGAGGTGGGGTCTGGGAAAATGCACGACCGGGGCTGGTTCGGACGGTTTGGCGTGATTGGCCCTGCTTATCTGGGTTTGGTAGCAGCCGTGCACGCCGTGGCAGCCAAGCAGCAGTGAAGGCTGGTTCGCAACGGTCATCTCAGTTCGCACACGGTGCCCGGCACACGAGTCGCTCTTCTTTTTCTCGCTCTTTTCCTTCCCACACTCGGCCGGCTTTTCGGACGAGAAATAGGCAGGTGGCTGCAAAAATAGACTCGGGCTGCTGCCAGGGACTGCCATGCCAGCGATTCGGGCCAAACAAACGCAATCGCCCTTTTGCTTCCGTCGCCCGGTAGTCTGGACACGATGTGTTTCACGGGAAACAGACGTCGTGCCTTTTTGTCAAAGTTCCAATTGTTTACTCCCTTCTTATTTCCAGCCTTCGGCGGAGCGCCTGGGGGGACGCCGACTTGAACACGCCACCAGCGCCATCAATAAAAAACCCTGAATTCCACGGCAGGCACGCGGCAAGGGAGGGCCTCCCGCCTTGCCGCATTTTGTCCACTTGGCCCCCAGAAACCAGGCGCTAAACAGGTCCTTTGCAGAAGCGTGGTGCGCTAGGGCAAACGCTGGCACGCGCCTGTTCATCAGCCGGTTTGGCGCTCGCTAGCACCCTGGCACTGGCAGTTGGCCCTAGCTGGCTGTCGCCGACCCAAACTGTCAACATTTCGGTCCCGAACGACGGGTATTGGGCACCCGACAAGGCTAGCTTCCATTTTCTATGTCGCTCAGCGCGAACTGGCCGTGTCATTAAACCATCAAAGCATCGACAGACGGGTCAAAAGCACAAATGGGGCCATGGTTCCGGGGCGGCGGGGGTGCTCCCATCCTTTCCGTGCGCCAGGGTGTCTCGGTCGTGGGCTCTCTGCCATCAGGGGGATCCCCCTGCACAGGCACTGTAGCTGAAGGGGTTGGATTGGCCGAGGGCGCGCCGAAGAACCTTGTCCAGGGCACACTGACCACACCCATTTTCTGCCCCCAGCGATCCACCAAGGTCTGAGCAGTGGTGGGGCCTCCTTGCCAATCCTCCCTTGTCCTTGTCCTTGTCCTTGTCCTTTCCTCCACAGCCCGCTGGATGATGAAAGGAACTAAGGTTGATCGATTACGGGCAGGTGCAAGAAAAGGGGGGGACCACGGCAAAGGACAGCTTGTGGGCCACAGCCAGACCTGTCAGGCCTGTCAAAGCGGCAGAGTGAAGGATTTGGCGTGTGCCTGCTTGCGACGATGTTACAATATGTTGTCGTCGTCGTCGCTTTGCTCGGATTGAGGTCGGCCTTTGCTCACTACCGACGGGCTGGATGGCATGAAAGTAAAGAGGGAAAAAGAAAAACAGCGCCCCATGCGCCAAGACAGAGACAAGACATGACTTGCGCTGGCAACCCGCGGGCTTGGTTTTTGGGATCTTCCAGCCGTCCGCCGCCAACGAATGGCCCCCCAACCCACCATCACCCATCGGAATCGCTCCCTTGTTGCGCGTATGCGAATCAGTTTTTTCCCAATAGCTTGGTGGGTGTGTTTTGTAGATGGATGGATGATGGATGGCGTCGCGGAGGGTTTGCTCCCAGATTTGCAGCCACCAATTTGGCTCCAGTGGCACACTTTGGCTCCAGGGCACAGAGCCAGGCACCCGCCCTGCTTGACTCGAGACCTTGGATCCCAAAGTGACGGCTCGACGCTTCTCTTCCAATGACGTGGAGAACAAAAAAGGCAATCAATCAAGACGCCAACGGCAATATTCTCCGCCAGCCCAAAAACAGCGCCCTCCCGCAACAGACAGCCCGCTGAACAACATCCCCCGTCCCCGTCCAATCTCGTGGCGGCGCTGTGCTCTGCGGAGCGCAGCCTGTGCTGTGCCTCGTCGCACCCGACGGGTTCCCGCCCCTCCAGCAGGCAGGCAGGCGGGATGAAAATGATGACCATGACCAGACTGTGCTGTATGTACTTCCTATAGTACACACGCCGGTAGTGTCTGGCCGGCTCGCTGATGCCTGGGAAAGCAGACAGACAACCTCCCCCTCCCCTCCCCTCACAAAAAAAAAACGACAAGTCATGTCTTGGCTGGGCATGCCGGCATTTCCTCGCCTTGTCACCGGTGCCCGCTCGTCTTGGCGACGGATCAACCGTGGGTGGTCACATCACATTATCCCACGCCCCCTCATCCACGAACTCTGTACCGTTGTACCGTCGTTCTTCACCAGACATGTGTCCTCCCATCATCAACCGTCTGCCTCCCACCCTTCCCTGTCCCCCCCTCTCCGTAGCTGTCACATCTCTCATCCCGGGACCCGTGAACTCTGCCTACCTGACCACTCTCCTACCCCCCGCTGCTTCTATGACTGCGTGTGCCAAACGGCTTCCGGCATTTAGATCCTCCGCATTTCTCGTGCATGTGTCGTACGTGCTATTACGGATGGGCATTTCTTTTATTTATTCATTCATTTCTTTTTTATTTATTTATAATCTACACAGTAGATGGGGGTCGGGGAGGGGACTTGATCACGCGCGAGGCTAGAAACGAGCGTCCTCTCGGCCGGCTGCGTCATTTCCATCCCATCTCGTCTCCCTGCGTCCCCGCTGTCCGGCCTCCCCCGCGCCGCTTGCCCTTCTGCGCCTCGTTCCATCCTGTTGCCCACGCGGTACACGGGATCAGCTAGTCCCATGTCGTGTAACACCCCCGTCTCGTGTCGGGTGCGCGGCAGCTCGCCAGGTCAGACTCAGGTAGCCCCGAGGATGAAGGGGAAGGAGAAAGGGCAGAAAGAAGGGAGAACGTAAATGGAGGTGCTTGGGTATGTACGTATGTGGGTATGTAAGTGTGTAGGTAGGTAGGTAGGTAGGTAGGTAGGTAGGTAGGTAGGTAGGTAGGTAGGTAGGTAGGTAGCAATGCCAATCGGCCTTGTTTGCAATCACCCGCCTCCGACGACCGGCCCGCGGGAGAGAGAGAGAAAAAAAAGCAGGGAGCCGGCAGACCAGAAGAAACTTCGGGGGACAGGAACAGACGGGCTCATGGAAGCGTGCATGTTGTGCATCAAGGGCTCGCTGTGTCGTCCCAAGTCCCCTCCCCTTGCCCCTTTTCCCCTTTTCCATGCTCTCGGCCGCGCCCTCCTCCGTCCTGGCCGCATGCGTCGAGGCCGGCCCCGGCCCCCCCTCGGGTTTTATTGCTTCCCTCGACCCTGGCCTTGACTCCCCCCCGTCCACAGTCTCGCACGACATACACGCCCATGCATCTTGCACCATGGACGCCGTGGCCCGCGACCTGCCATCGGCCGGCGCGGGCCATCGCGTTTTTTTTTTTGGCCCCCTGTCGTCCCCTGGGTGCGACCGAGGTCGGCGTAGAGACGGGACGGGATGTTTAGGATCGGAGAGAGTGAGGCGGATAAACTTGGGAGATCAGTTGGGAGGTTGGGGGATGTGAATGGTGATGACGCAGATGTTCTTGACGACATGCCTTTTTTTTCAGTCTCTAGGTAGATATACAAAATAATTCCCTTATTTAATAAGCTAAGAAGGCATCCATCTACATCTCATCGTGATAGTTCCTGCCCTCAAACACGGTAGCCCAGTGCTCTTCCACGCGCCAAACCGACAACACCGGGCCGCCAACTGGCCGGCTGGGCAGGCAAGACAAAACATTAGCCAGATAAATAAAAAGAAAAGCCGGCCGTTCTCGCCGAGCAACGCCCGTCGGCTGCGCCCGTCCTAGTCTCCCCCGGGCTCGGGACCGAAAAAGGACAGAAGAGGCTAGACAGGAGCGGAAGGGGCCGGGCGGCGGCGTCGAATCGAACGAGGAACAAACAAAGACATGCCACCTACGCCCTGAAGCCCGGATGTTCCCAATTCCCAAAGAGATCTGAGACTGGAAATACATACCGCCCCGCGCGCCCTCCCCGTCCACGTGGTACCGGAGGCGAGAGACGGGACGAGTAAGCTCTCCCCATCTGGTCCCCCTGCCTCGGTATTGGTTTCTTCTTGTCTCTTCCTTCCGTGATTTTCCTTTTTCCTCCCCCTTTTTTTTTCCCCTCCTCGCCCCCGGTCCCGTCTAGAAAGGGCTGCTTGCTCCCATCTGCCCGTCCCTTGAAACACGGTCTGGCCCGGCTGCCCGCCATCGCTCTCTCTCTCCCTAGTCGAGGTCGCACATTGTCTCATGTGGCGGGCCGGAGGATGGGCGAAAGGGGACGAGGGAGCGGAGGAGAGGGAGAGATGGGTTTGCCGCCCGCCTGGTCGCTCCCTTTGGGATGATCAATGGGTGGAGTGTCCTGCAGAGTCTTTAAATCCTAGTGATTTCTTTTTTCAGTCCGTCTCGCCATTGCTTAGTGACGGAGCGAGCTCAAAGACAACGGCGCCCAGCAACGACCGTGTAATTGGGCACCTAGGTAGGCAGCGGAAGGGCCGGCATGCAGGATATTTGTGCTACAAACCCGAACGTCGGGCAGTCAAACCAGTTAAACCCTCAATACGGGCGAGCGGGGGATGCGAGACATGTTCAGGAGAGACTGCGTTTGAAGGGCCAAGGTGGTGCGGAAATACTGGCCCTGTATTGATATGTGCTCACACCCGCCCGGCCAAGACTGTCCTGCTCTCGCTCGCCAGTAGTCATCTGGTCTTGTCTCCACGCTTCTCGAAAGCACCAAGAGCATGAGAATTACAAAATAATACACGGGAATAAACAAGAAGCAAACAATGGGCCGAGATAAACTACGTTCAGGGATGCCAAACATCAAAGCTGCGAGGCGGAAGAAGAGAGTGGCAACAAGGAGGATGTACAAGGGGTCCGGCCTTGGGAGAATCTAGAATAATCAACCAGTGAAGGGATAGAACTATAGTTAAACAAGGGGAACAAGATACCGCTATCTCATAACAGCAAACAAGTGTCCGTGGGAACACTCTTGCCATCATCGGGACACCTCATGACCAAAAAAGCCCTTGCAGCCATGGACGCAGCAATTCTATAATATTCGCCAAATGTGCCTACAATGCCGCTGACAATCAAACGCAGGCTGGGGATAGCTGGGTGACTCGTCCAATACTCGCGACACTCATCGGTACTGGTTTTCCTGAGTCCACCCGGAGCGTGAAGTCTTATCTTGGTCACCGTCGCCGTCTCCCTCAGAAGTTGTCGTGTATCTAATACGGAGAGGGGGGAGTGTAAGTGGTTCCGACTGTAAGGGTGGCACGTACAGCCCGCCATCGGCCTCCAAAACCATGCGGCCTGCATACAACGACGCGGGCGAGGGGCGGGGATGGGGGCGCACCAACGGCGGCAGCATAATTGGCGTAGCCGCCATGTAGCTAGCCCGTGAGAGGCCGGCCATGGTGGCGTCCTCGCCCTCGAGCTCGTGGACCCCGTCTTCGCCCTCGTACCAGGGCGGTCGCAGGATAGGTGGCGGCAACGGCGCACTGGTGGAGCCCCCCTAGTGGCCGATGGCGCCAGCTGCGCCGCCCTGTTTCATCTGCCAGACAGCCCCCTTTGCGCGCTCACGCACGTCAAGATCGGCATCGTCCTGCTGCAGCGACTCGAGCCGGCCCATGAGACCGAGCCGCCTGAGCTCCTCGGCCCGCCGCTCCGACGCCTGCGTGTCGGCCCCGTCATCACGCCATGTCAGATTGCTGATGAGGTGGCAGAGCGAGACGCGCACCTCCTTGTCGCGGCTGGCAAACTGCCGTCCCAGCAGCCGCAGCAGGTCCGTTTGCGCGATCACCAGCTGCCGGTGCCGCGGCACACTGGCCGCGATGTGCACCAGGATGCAGATGACCGCCTCAATCACCTTGGCCTGCGGATACAGCACACGCGACGGTGCCTGCTGGTGCTGCGTCTGCTGGCCTTGCTCTAGCGTTAAAGACGACGGTGACAGTCGCCTATTAAACGGGTGCAGCACCTTGTGTCGCAGCTTCGACGCCAGGATCTCGAAGAGGCGGTCCTGCCCCAGGGCGCTGAACAGGTAATCGATCATCTCAGCCGTGTCCTGCGGGTAGTCGCTGCCTGCGCCGCCCGCGCCATTGGAACCCGAATTCGAAGTCGTGATGAGGTTTCGTATAAAGTTGAGCCCTTGCTCCTGTATCGCCAGGTCGTCGCTCCTGGCCTTGCGCTGCGGGTTGAGCTCCGCGTCGCGCAGCGCCGCCAGCTTAACCTCGGCCCGCCGTAGCCGGCCCGTTCGGCTGCGCTCGTGGCTGACCCTGGGCGAGGCGGCTCCCGGTCCGCGGAGGAGAGACGATGACGGGGTCGAGGTCCCGGTCCAGTGCTTGCCGCTGCCCCCCTCTTCCTCATCCTCATCCTCGTCAACGTGATCCATCTCCACGTCTTCGTCCATGTCGTCACCTGTCCATGATGTGCTCGTCCCCGGGTGTTGTTCCTGCCTACTCTTGGAGAAGAGTGCGTCGTCTTCCGTGTCGTCACAAATCAGCTGCACCAGCCATCCTGACTGTAGCTCGTCTAGACATGCCCTTTTCATCTCAAGCCTGAGCCCGTGGACGTAGTGCTTGAGGGCCCAGAGCGCATTTAGCCTTAGGTCTGCGTTCATGGAGTGGGCATGTCTGCAGAGAATTCGCATTATCCCGAGTTCCGTGTACCGCTATGCAGGCAAATGTCAGTGAATGATCCAATAGTCGGAGCCCTGTACACAGCGGAAACGAGCGGGTAAGAGTACACACCTCGCGCATAGGGCTGAAATCGACGACAAGATTACAGATGGCTCCGGTGGCGGCGATTTGGACCTCGATGTCATGGTGTTTCAAGAGCTCAACCAGGGGCTCGGTGACGCCTGCGTCCTGGAGGGTGGTGCGCACAATGGATACGGACCGCGCCAGAAGCTTGATGGTGTGGCAAGCCGCAATGAGGACGCCGGCCGTGTTGCGACCGAAACCCGAGCCCGCCGGTGGCTCCCCTGAGCTATCTGAGCCCTTCAAAAGGGCCTTTGCAGCCGCAGAACGCTGGCCTGTGCTACCGCCGGGCTTCGCAGGGAACTCCGCCAAAGACTCGACGATGTACGGGACGGCATCTTGATCGCAGACCTGTTTGCGATATTCGTTTTTAAATGAGACTAGCGATGCAAGGGCCTTGAGTGCGCACTCCCTGAGCCTGACGCGGTGCCTGTTTAGTGGCAGTTGGCCGTGCTGGGCGCTAGGCAATGCCTCGAGGATATCTGCCTCCTTTGCAGGGGAGGGACTCCACAGTTTGAAGCCCCCGTCGTGCGACTTGATGGGCTCGTAAGCTTCCTTGAGCAGTTTGCAGACGGTCTCGACCGCGCCGCACTGGAAGGCCGACTTCTGCAAAACCTCGCTGTCTGCAATCAGGCGTGCCAGCACCGTCAGCACGCGCTCCGTCCTCTCCCACCGAGTCGCAGTCGCGTCGTCTACCCATGCCGAGACGGCGGCCGGCGGGCATCCAGCTGGCCTGTCGCTGTCATTCAGCAGGTGTGTGAGCAAGGGGACCGCCAGCGAGCCTAGCGCAGCCTCCCTATATCTGCCCGCGAAACCAGCCTTGTAAAGCGATGTCAAGACGTCGGCGCCAGAGAGGCTCTCCGCGCCACGACGGTCCGCCGCGAGGCGCATAAGCCACGGTATGAGCGGGACCTCTGGATCTTCGCTCCCGCCCGTCTCACCGCCGGCCGAGGTGGGCGCAAGGCGCGACGAATCCCAGCTTGAGAGGTTGGTTCCAGACCTGCTCGTGCCAAGTCGGCTAGACGAGTAGTCCCGTGTAGAGCCAAGGGGTGGAAAGGGCGAAATCTGGGGCGGGCCGCCCTTTGGCTGGCCTGGCACTGCAGGAAGCAAGAAGTCGATGGCGCCGAGCTGCGGCGGCCGGGAGCTGCCCAGACCTACGGCCTCGAGCGCGTCCCAGGCCGCGCGCGTGTCCTTGGCCGGTGGGGTGAAGTCGAGGTTCGGGAAAACGGCAAGGATGGAAGGTGAATAGAGGAGCATGCAGGCGCGTAGCCTCGAATCAGCAACCACGGCGCAGATGGCGTCTAGAGTGACAGCTAGGCTCAGTCCGGCGGGGGCGGGGGCCGGCATGGCCTCGGCAATACCCTCGTTTTCCGCGACGACATGGGCTCCAGGGACAACCTCGCCACGCGCGACAACGAAGCTGGCGAGTCTCGTGGCGAGGGCGTCGAGAATGCCAGCATTGGCAATCAGGATCTGATGCCGCTCCTCGCGGCATAGAGCTGCTATCAGACCAGCCGCGGCGTTGACCAGGCTTGTGGATGCTATAGATGTGGGTGGGCCTGGAGACGCGAGGATACTGGATAGTGATTCAAGGTGCTGCTCAGCAAAGATCTCGTCGGCCAGTAGTGTAGATTGGACTTGATTCGTGGGCAGCACGAATGACGCAGCATCGGCAAAAGACCGCAGTGCCTTCAGGGTGGCCAGCACAACGCGGGGGTGGTTGTCAACCGGGCAGAGGTTCTCTAGGAGAGCCCGGAGTGCACCGGCGCCGTGAAGCGGAGTGAGAAAGGCGGCACCTCCTGTTGTTGCCCACGACGGCTCGTGTTAGCAAGGCCAAGCAAGCTACCCGGAGGAGTCGGCCATATCACAAAGTATGGGAAGAGCAGGCATCCTACCATTGGCAAAGCTCGCCAGCAGCTGGATCGCCTGTAGGCGTACCTGCTCCTCTTCCAACAGCGGCCGTGGCGCCACCGCATGGCCACGTGTGTTCTTGCCGTTTAGCTTGGACGGCGACCTAGCCGAGAGCAGGATCTCGACGATGGGCTCGAGGATGCCGTGTGCCACCCAGCGATGCTGCTTCTGGATGTGGCCAACGACCTCGTTCTTGACTGAACGGAGGGCCGTGGTCTGTTCGGCATATGTCCTTGCACTCTGGATGCCGGCCAGGATCGGCGGTGTCTGGGCGCGCGCCATTGTGGCGGGAGAAGGCGCAGGGTCCGAAGTGACCGCCAGGGAGGCCGGGTCCGAGGCCTGAACCTGCCGCGGCGGTATCGGAAGGACGGGTTTAGATTATGGGGAGCCCGTCGGCCAGCTGTCGGGACGGCTCGATGGAAAGGAACGGATGGGGTTTCGGTTACGTCGGAACGGCAGTGGATTGGCCGCACTCGACGGCGCGGTTTCGCAGGCGACAATCGCTGACGGTGGAGGCAGCGAGGAGAGGAGTGCGGCAGTCCGGGAGGAGGCTGTCGGCGGAAAAGGACGGCTAGGCCGAACAAGGTTTTGTTTGTTGGGGGCTCACTCAGCCGTCAACCCACCCCTAAGCAGGCGTGTGCTGAATCAAGGCTGGCTTGAAGAAGAAGTTGATTGGTTTCAAGCCCGTGTTGTGACAATCCGCTGTGACAATCCCATCAATGCGCCCGAGGCTGGATTTGTGCGCGTTCCATTTTCGGCCTTGGTGACGACGGAAGCCAACGCCTCCAATGCCTGCCATTGGTTTCCAGGTTCCGCCTTCCCCCACAGCCTGCCTCCACAGGAAGAAGCAGCCTTCCCGTGGCCCGTGCTCGTCCAGCTCAATCCCTCCCCACATGTTGCCTGTCCGAAAACCGCACTTGGAACTCTGGTCGAAACGCAACCATCAAGGTGTCGATCCCATCACGTCATGCTCACGCCAATTTCTCTGACAGCAATTCAACTGTATGCTATTGAAAGGGTCACAATTCGAGTCTCTGGAACTGGCTGGACTCACAACATGGACCAGCTGGGCATGTGATCTGTTGCAGGGCGGGCTTTGATCACGTGCATCCACAGCTGCTTGACCCAAATGGCGGGAACTGCGGAGTGTAGGAGTGTGCTGCATGGTCAGCCTAGTCGGCTGATCGGTGAGAGTGTTCCTTCCGGAAGGGTGCCGTTATGCCGGCCGTGCGCATATCAATCCATCCCTGATGCCCCTTTTACGGCGGTGTGATGGACTAGTACGGCACCCGGACGCTGCGTCGACGCAACAGGGAAAACGCAGACGGCCATGTCTTTGTGATATCTTTTGCCAGGTCTTGGCTGCCCCTATCAGCATCGCCAACCCCAAGTCCCCTGGCTGTCGGGCACCAATTGTCTTAAATCCAGAGGCCTGCGGTATTGGCCAGGGCCTAGATCTTTCTGGAGCGCCGCCTGTAGTCATCTGATCCACCTGGGTCGGTCAAGCAATGCGGACTCCGCCCGTCGCATGCAATCTGGCTGCGGTCAAGCTGACCTCAGGACTTTGCCGCCCTAGACCTAATACTGTCGCGATGTCGCACACCTGCATGCACTCGGCTGATCGGCGAACAGAAAATTCGCGTCGTCAGCCGCCTTCTGCTACCACTCATTACCAAATAGATATCTATGACATGGGGCCGATGGCATTTCCAATGATAAACGTCAATTGCCTGCTCCCACCTGTCCTTGAATGCCCGAGACACACAACGAAGCAAATCCCCGTTCCTGCCACCCAAGCGCAAATCCCCCGCCACGCGCTGCCAAGAAGTTTATCCCTATCTCCCCACGAACCAAAAACGACGGACGAACGAGCCGCCCTCTGGCCCCTCGACTGGAGTTTCCAGGTGACCGCACGTTGACCGCACACGTGCGGCTTTCGCTAGCGGCGTGGTTAGCTGTTGCTTCATTCGGAAAGATTTTTTCTCTTTCCTCCTTTTAATTAGAGTTTGCCCAAGCTCCAGTCAGTTGGTCACGACAGCGCACAGAGGAGGGTGGCTTCTGCTTCGTGCATCCAGGCCGCATTCCCAATTCGCCGCTTCGTTCCCCTCCAGCAGATTCCAACAGACGCCGGCCGCGGGCCCGCACAAGCCAGAGCCCCGACACCAGAGCCCCGACGCCAAGGCCCAACAGCGAGCTGGTGCTGTGGACTGCTGGCTGCGAAGTCGGGTCGACCGGGATTGGTCGCCGCAACGAGTGCCAGTCGTCTCCTGTGCGAACTGCCTCCATCCTCTCGACAACGTCACACGCTACAGCCAAACGCCGGCGGCCTCCCATTTCCGGCAGCACGCGCTGTTTGCCCGGCGTGTCCAGCCACTGTCCCCGCGATCAGCTACTGGCCCGGACGCAGCGCAACCTGCAGCCTGCAGTTCGCGGTGCCCGCACCTCGGTGGATAACTGGATATCGACATCCCCATTCTCCTCCACTCTGCGGCTCTTGCTGCTGCCTTGCTCCAATCACCGTCGCTGTGATTCGGACAAGTCGATTTGGCGCTTGCCAAAAACCCACTTCCCCCACGACCCTCTTTATCGTGGTGGCCTCGAAAAATTCGAGAAGGAAAGGAGACGGGGAAAGGAAGTCGGAGAAGATAAGGCGGAAGGAAAAATAAAAAAAGGAGGGCAAAATTACTGGTCCAACAGGGGCCCTAGAATGCGATGACCTAGGTGGGGATCATGTTGACTCGATCTCCAGCTCACCCACGGTCTTCCAATGCGTCGCCCAGCTTCCACGGCTTCCACTATGCGCCCGCACTACCATCACACCACTCGTCCCCGTCCCGGCTTTCCGTCGCTGTTCAGCGGCGCCCGTCCGCATCCTCGTCGATCGCCGGTCCCGGCTCTGGCCCCGCCTCGAGCTCCGGCTTCGGCCCGCCGCCCGAGTTGGGCTCCACCCCAGCTACACCACCTACGGTAGCGGCGGCGGCGGCGGCACCAGTCCAAGGAGCAGCAGTCCCGGCGGCGGTATCCCCGACTCATAGCGCCTCGCACCCCTCGGCCGCGCCCTCGAAGAGCCGCTATGTGGCAGTCGACGCCGCGACCCAGTACTCGCCTATGGAGCCTATCAACTACCTGGCCACCCTACATGCGAAGCAAAACTTGCACACCATCCCGACTGATCTACCGCCCACGCCGGGCCCGAAGCCGATGACGCCTGGAATAGAACAGGGCGTCGAGGTCCCGGCGCCCACTCCTGTATCCTCACACACCTCGGGCGCGACGGAAAATGGCGCGACACCCACGGCGCCAGCGTCTCGTATTGACACTACCCCGGCTGTGTCCGCCGCCGCCGCCAAGGCCATCATGTCTCCCGGCAAGAGACGAAACTCTCAGACCGTCGCATCTGCGAGTGACGACCCTGCCACGCAAAGCCCCATCATCCGACCCAAGCGGGCAAAATCCGAAAAGGCCCCGCTAAAAGTTTTACCAGAGAGATATGAGCTGTGCCTAACCGAGGACATCGTGGTGCTCATCGCACACATGCTTGGGGAACTTATAGAGACCAATGATGCGCTTGCGCTGAAGTCTGGGCACCTGACAAGGTTCCATTCAAGGTAGGAGCGAGATGGGGCGCGCCACGTCGCTCTGTGCATGTTTTACACGGGCTAGCTAACGGAAATCTTGCTACTTTGCTCTATACAGGACCGCACCAGGAATTTCGGTGTTGGAATACCTCCACAGGCTGGCCAAACACGCCACACTGTCGCCGCCGCTTCTGCTATCGATGGTCTACTACATCGACCGGCTCTGTGCGCTCTACCCCGACTTCACGATCAACACGCTGACCGTGCACCGGTTCCTGATAACTGCGGCAACAGTGGCCGCCAAGGGCCTATCGGACCTCTTCTGGAATAACACAACCTATGCGCGCGTGGGGGGAGTCCGAGTCGCCGAGCTGAAGTTGCTGGAGCTGGAGTTTCTCTACCGGGTGGACTGGAAGATCGTCCCCAACCCGGAGGTGCTCGTGGCTTACTATAAGGGGCTGATTGAGCGGTGTCCTGGCTACGTGCTGCAGGGCGAACAGTCGCCCGAGGTTGAGGACGACGACGACGAGATAGACGACGACGAAGACATAGATGGCGACCTCGAGGATGACGAGGAACGCTGAAAAGGCTTCGATGCATGGATACGGTGATAACAGTGTCCATCGACGGCAGAAAGCTCTGCCCATGACGTGTAGTGGCTGCTGTTTATCATACAACGATGGGGATCGGTCCCCAGAAGATGTCAGTGGCGTCAGGGCCATTTATATATGCACGGAACCGAAACGGTTTCCGTGATGGGTTGAAGCTCTATGAAAACAGAGATACCCAAACCAATACTAGAATCTCCCAATTTCTCACGTTTATATAGCCTTTTCTGTAATTTCATGTGGGAGGTAGGGAGTTAATGACACGTCGATGACAACCTTTGGCTGTCGTGGCTAACCGAGTATCTTTAGGAAGCAGAGGGGGATTCTATGGGAGGGTGGTTATAACTTGTGGCGTTTCGAAGGTCGAATTCTATGTGTATTGCCAACAAAAACGGCTTCCAAAGCTCAATGGAGGTGATTGAACTCAGCCCGGTGTCACAGGCACTAAATAGTGGATCCCAGTATCCGTTGTTGCAGCGTGTTCATGCCCCACTACAGACCAACCACAGCTCTGCTCTGATCTGTCCAAGCATGCGACCCAGCTCATGGTAGCGTCCATCAAGAGACATCTGAGAATTCGACAGCGCCGCACCAACTCTCGAGGAGCCCTACCACTTCGGGATTACGGGCAAGATCCCTCGACATCCGCCGCAGCTCCCAAGAAGCGCATCCCCCATCCCCGCCCTTCCTCACCACAAACCCGATCGCATCCCGAATCCGGCACCGTCGCGGCGATGCGGAGCCTACAGCTCCTCCTCGGGGGCCTCCTCGCGGCATCGTCGTCGTCGTTGGTCCTCGCCGAGCCGCAGACAGCGTCCATATACATGCAGCCTGTCGGCGTCGGCAGCCCGCCGCCGCCGACGCTCCTCGCCGAGATCACGTACGACCTGGCGCCACCCGCGGACGACGAGGACGGGGCATCAGCAGCAGCAGCAGCAGCAGCAGCAGCAGCAGCAGAGGTCGGCGTCGGCGTCGGCGTCGGCGGCGGCGCGATAAAAGCGGCAGTGACGGCGTTCGAGGCGCCCGAGCTGCCGGACGACGACGGCGACGTGGCCGCGGCGCTGGTGCGCATCGGGGTCTACGACGCGGCCGCGGGGCGCTGGGCGTCGTCGACGTCGGTCGCGTCGGCGGCGAGCTTCGGGCGAGGGTACGCGCCGCACTTTGTGCTGACGGTGCTGCTACAGTCTGATGGTGGTGGCAGCAGCAAGGGAGAGGCTGCCGCGGTGGTGGTCGGGGCGGCGTGCAGGGGCGTGCGCGTGGACGCGGGGGCGACGAGGGACTTTGGCCCCCAGGCGGTCGTGGTGCCCGCGGGCCGCGGCCGGCAGCCCGCGCTTAACCGGCCCGTCGTGCTGAGCGCCGAGGGGAAGCAGGTCCCGCCCATGGAGGAGAAGACGCTGCTGCAAAAGTGCGTTGTTGAGTTTTGGCGTTCCTCCTCCTATTCAGTGCTTGTTGACGGCGTGGTGCTAACGTTTTTCTCGAACCTGATAGGTACTGGTGGCTGGCTGCGATTCTGGTCTTTCTGCTGGCGACGGGCGGGGGCGATGGGAAATAGAGTGCGTGGCCGGGCGGTCTCATTGTATCTTGGGCAAACACACGGTAGACATAGAGGGCGTTTTACTATTGCGCAATGGCATTCTCTGTCTAATCTCACATTTGCAAGGGAACCAAGTCCTGATCTGATTCACCGCCTAGCTGTCGTGATGGATATGGGAGAGGGGTTATTGTCTCTAATTAGCCAGAACCGGGCATTATCGCGTTCGTACTGACGCCCTTGCATCCGCCAAGCACAATCATATTGTCCGGAGAGCAAAAAGCCCACGTATTGTTTGCTCCCTGTGCTCTCACCAAGCGGACCGAAGGGAAACCTCGAGCCTTCCCAGGCGGGCTGTCGCAAGGAGCTTGGACCATGGATCTCGGCCCAGCCAGTCACAGCAGGCAAGCGGTGTCGGCGGGTCCACAACCTGCTCGGCCGTGCCAGGCAGAAAATACAAAAGCGGCCGAATCGAGCTGCTGGGTCAACCGAAAGTGGGCAGCTTGCCCGCGGTAGGTGTCCGCCTCTCTCACCTCCATCTCGCCGCGCGACACAACATCCCTCTTTCCCACAACCTCTCCACCCACCCTGTCCTGCATAACAAACCACCTACCGCACAACTCTTTGTTCGCGACCAGCACGGGCTCCCATACCGGACTCCCCCCATCCGAAACCAACCCGCAAATCCTTCGCAATGGCTGGCGAGAACAATGGCATCACCGCGCCCGGCGCCGCTGCCGATGCAGCTGCCGAGTCAAAGGGCAAGGGCAAGGCCGTCGCCGAGAACCTTCCTCAGGACGCCGAGATGGACGAGGATGACGATGATGATGACGAGGAGGCTGACGATGTAAGCCTTGATCCACCTAACTTCCCTGCTTTTCCGCAGTGCAGAGTTCGCGATATTTGGGCGTAGGAGAGTCGGTTTAGCTAACAATTGCATCCATCTCTCCAGGGAGCCGAGGAAGCTGGTTAGTAAACTCCACCATCTCCTGTTGATGATGTTGGCAACAGCTGCCGCTGCCACCTCCCCTTCTTCCCATCAGCCCGCCTCCTTCTGCTCGCCGTGACCAGGCCCGTATCTGACCATGACATTCCCGCCAACAGAGGACGTAGAGGAGGACGGGATGGAGGAGATCAACCCCGAGAACGTGATCGGCCGCCGCACCCGCGGCCGCGTCATCGACTTTGCCAAGGCGGCGCAGGAGCAGAACATCAACGTCGACGACGAGGACGAAGATGAGGACGACGACTTTGAGCTTCCAGACGAGAAGATGGACGAGGACTAAGTCGACTCTTCCGTCTCGACGAGATTCACGAAGACAAGATGGGGTAAAAAAAAAAACTTTTGGGTGGCGTCCACATGGGGGTATGCGGCTGGCTGGCACAGGGGTGCTTTTTTTTTTTCTGATGATTTGATACGAAAGTACATAACGCCTCGACGTCGATCTGAAGCCGTGTCAGCTGCTTGGATCTCCGTGGTACCGGCTCGACTTCCATGCGCTCTTTGTGAGCTGGAAGAGAGCTTGGGGCTTAAATATACGTCGGATATGGAATGCCAGGATGGATAAACAGCTTCCAGCCAGGGGTATGCACGGCTGGGGCGCATGCGAGTGACCTGCCTCTGCAAATGATACAAGGCCTTTTACTTCCTGGAGTTGCCGTCAGTGGATTTCTACGACCGCACAATCCAACTCGGCGTCACAGCCGTTCACTTGTGATGGGGTGTCAATGTCATAGACTCCTCGTGTCGACGCATCCGATTGCTCGCAGTGCGTATATGATACTGCCCGGATGACCCGCAGAGCTCGTCTCTCTGCCTGTCACCTTCAATAAACGAAACGAATCAAGCTGGGGGTGCACGACAGACAGGATTGGTGCTGCACTAGCACTGTGTAGCTCAGCTTTGGGTGAGGAGCAGTGGAGTGATTTGCGGGGTTTCAACTCACGGTCCTCCTGCCAGCCAGACGCCAGGCCACTGACACCGCCCTGAGTCGGCAGTCACACCACCAAGACCACCATTACCTCCTCTAATTACCCCACTGACATCCCGCGCCGCTGGGCTGGCTGTAGATTCTCGACTGCCCGAGGCCCCGGACACGCACGCACATGGTGTTGCGAGGTTGGAGAGTGCCTCGAGCTGGTCGATAGACCGACTGGCCCGTCCCTTTGGGTGCCCGCCTTTCCCTAGCCTTTATCCTGCCTTTGACCTCAATCCGTTCTTGGCCTGACTTCACATGCTGAATCGGCCAACCCCAAGACATCGTGCTCCATAGCTGCTGCTTGTGTTCTACCCCCGTGACAGCAAGGGGTGCAACAAACCTTCATCCTTTTTCTTTTTTAAGTCTTAGCCTCGCCGTCTTTTCTCCGCATTTTGTTAAGTTTTCGAACATCATCATAATTCCCGACTGCATCACCTGGCCTGCATACTTTTCTTTTGCTTCGGTATTTCTTAAACTCGACTGTCCCCACCACCTCGCCCTTATTGCCAACGCACTGTCGCCAATTTCTCCCCCATCGTCGAGCAGCAGCACCGCCGATCCGACCGCCCCACGCCGAGGCGGACCTCCTCCATGTCTGCCCTGATCCCCAACCTGGTGCCTAGCTTCATCGCCGAACCCGTGCTCCGACAGGCCCGTCGATTCTCCCGCGGAAGCTTTGCCGGCCCCGCTGCCCCGGCTCCCGGCGCATCGTCTTCGCTGTTGGCGCAGCAGGAAGACGGAGATCAACAGGGCAGCAGTGGCAGCAGTGGTGGTGGTGTTGCCGCCGCTGGCCGACGCCAGCTGTTGGAGGGCCACCCCGAGGATGCTGCAGTCGACAGCAGCCTAGGCCTGCGCTCCGGTCCACACCTTTCATCATCCCCTAATCGACCGCTTCCGGATCGCTTGGCGACCGGTCCGCCACACCAGACACCACCTTCCGCTGCGCCAGTGCAGGGCTCTGGAGAATCGCCAGCTGAGGAAGCGCCTTCCAGTCAACATCACCCTACCGAACCGACCGACCGGGCCGGTCTCGCCAGAAGCAGTGACACGGTTGCCCCAACCACAGAAACCACAGCAGACCCTTTAGGAATGGCTGCGGCGGAGCGAGATGCGACAGAAACACCGGTCGATGGCACGATATCGGCGACACCACGAGAATACATGCGGCCAGAGGCGCTGCCCGAGGACGACGGCATGGGCCCCTTGAGACGGCGGATCCTGGAGATACATTCGCGCCCTATACCTGCCGCTGAAAAGGCGCAGCTGCTGCACATCATGTTCACAGAGGGGTACGAGCGATCACGGCTGGAAATCCTGGAGCAAAAGCAGAAGAAGCGCGTATCTTCGCACTCGTCGCACTCGGCCAACTCGGAGGGCGGCGGCAGTGGTGTGCTGTACGAGCAAGCGGCGGCACAGGGCCCGCTTGAGTCGCTCAAGTTCTGGCAGCTGTCGCTGGGCGAGTCGTCGACGCCGCCGCGCTTCTTGCTGACCGAGGATGACCTCAAACCGACCTATGCGCCAGCAAAACGGCGGTTCCGGGGCCGGTATGGGACAGGCAGCGGGGTATTCTCGCTCTCGGAAGAACTCGTCGGCGGCAGTGGCGGGCCGCAGCAGCAGCAGGAGCCGCAGCACATGGGCTGCGAGCACTACCGGCGGAACGTCAAGCTGCAGTGCAACACGTGCCAGAAGTGGTACACGTGCCGGCTCTGCCACGACGAGGCCGAGGACCATGTGCTCCCGCGCAAGGAGACCAAGAACATGCTGTGCATGCGCTGCGGCTATGCGCAGAAGGCGGGCGACGAGTGCGTCAGGTGCGGGAGGCTGGCCGCCCGCTATTATTGCGGCACATGCAAGCTCTGGAACGACGACCCCGACGCGAGCACGTACCACTGCGACGGGTGTGGAATCTGCAGGGTCGGCGCGGGACTGGGGAAGGATTTCTTCCACTGCAAGGTGTGTATAAACTTTTTGTGTCTACACTCGTTCTGTGACTGGTACAAGAGCCCGACTGATCAGCCCGACACAATGGCGAAACTGAACAGAGCTGTGGAATTTGCATCGCGATCGAAACCAAGGACTCGCATCGATGCCGTGAGGGTGCCATGGACTGCAACTGCCCCATCTGTGGCGAGTACATGTTCACGTCTACGAAACGCATGATACACATGAACCCTTGCCGGCACCTGATTCACAAGCGGTGCTACGAACAGCACATGCTCACGTCGTACAAGTGCCCCATCTGCAGCAAGAGCACGCGCAACATGGAGTCCCTCTTCCGCAAGTGGGACCAAAACATTGCAGAGCAGCCCATGCCGCCAGAGTGGGCGTCGGCCCGCGCCATCATCTACTGCAACGACTGCGAGGCCAAGAGCCAGACGCTATACCACTGGGTCGGTCTCAAGTGCAGCATCTGCAAGGGCTATAACACGCGGGAAGTGCAGATCCTCAACGCACCCGGGGCTATCCCGCCGACGACTGCCGCCGCGTCCCCGACAGGAGCGGATGATGCTACGGCTGGGGCGCCACCTCCTGCCGCTGGTGTGGAAGCGGCCGGCCCTGGCGCGGCAGCACCATCAACTCTAATGCCAGCGGCGACAGCGGCATTGGCAGCACCAACAGCAGCAGCTGGAGGATCAGCACCGCCGGATACGGCGCATCGCTCCTCAGCCTCCTCGGGGCCTCGAGACATCGCACAGCCCCGGAGGACCGTGAGCAATATACCCGTGGCGTCGGTCGGAGGCATGCGGACGATGCTCCCAGTGCAGCCGCCGGAACGATATGCGCGGTCGCTGTCGCCCACGCCAGTCTTCCCAGACATCGAGGCCGACCCCGATGGCCCCATGATGGACGACGATGAGGACGACGGGCGTAGCAACGACATGATCGACTTTGACTTTTGGAGTCGCGTGGGCCTGGGCAGACTCGGCGGCTCCGACAGGCGCCCATTCGGGGAGCCGGAAGTGAGCGGTGACGATGTCGATGACGAGGACGAGTCTGAAGATGATGACGACGAAAGCTCCGAGGAAGGTGACGCTCGGGAAGAGGAGGAAGATGACGATAATGAGATCACGCTTTTTGGCCATCGGTAGGCTGCCCAATGGCTATTTGGATGGGGGCGGATTGGATCCTGGAATTTTCTGCTCTCACGGTACTGTATGTCCTGGGGCTGTCTCTCACACTGGATTTGGGTGGCCGTCTGGAGTACTCCCTGCCTTTACTTTGTCCTGTTTCTCCTTTTGTCGCAGCAACGCAGGCCTGGATTTGCTAGCTTTTGCATGGGGCGATTATGAGGAATCACGGAGACACGTCTTGCGGCTACAGATGTTTAACAGTTGGGCAAGCCGGTTTGTGGTACGGGGGTGTACTGACTCTCCTGCCGTTATATGGTTGCTTTCCATTCTTTGGTCTTGCCTTGGCCTTGCTTTGGTCTTGTTGGGGGCTTCGTGCAACTTCACGTCTAGTGGGCGACCGGGGTTGGTTAATAGTGAGGAGTTTGTAGGGTGGGCAGGCTGGTGAGTAAACATAGTTGTAAAACAAGAGCCAAAGGAAATGAATATCGCACTGGTAGTCTTTCGACTTATGGTTTGTGTGGTTATACATGCATTATCAAGCATATCTATCTGTATTATGGTCCTTTGAAGACAGCTTGGCATCGAAGCATAGCGAGACCGTCATTCTGGATCTTACAAAACATGCCAAGAAAAAAAAAGGTCGAGGCGAGGAAGAGAGAACATGAAGGATAGAACTCTATTTCCTGCGAGCCGCAGCCGAGGCGGCGATCTGGGCGGCGGTAGCCTCCTGGCCCTGTTTCCGGAGCTCCTTGACGACGGCCTGGTTTTTGTTGTTTGTTAGGAGGCGAGAGAGGTATGTGGCAGGGCTGCTGTGGGGTGGGGGAAGGAAACTGACGGCGAGGGCCTCCGGGCTGACGCCGTTTTCAATCATGGATACGCAGACGGAAAGTGTCCTGCGGTCCAGGTGGCAATTCTGTTTTGTTTTATGGAGAGGGAGGGAGGGGGTCAGCAAGCCACCATCGTCCTTGCAGTTGTGTGGAACGAATCGTTGATGAGGGCGGGCGGCCGCTGAAAAAGGGATGGGGGTAACAAAAAGACGGACCAGGATGGTGGAAATCTCGTGCAGGATGTCGACGGCCGACTGCGCCGCCGCCTGCTTCTCCCTCCTGTCCTCGCTGGGCATTGTCTGTGAAGTGCGTTGTCTGCTGAGAGTGGTTGTTTGAATTGCAGATGGATTTTTGGTTCTGCTGGGGGGTGTATGTATGATGTCGGGCTGGTCGCAATTGAAGCCGCAGGGAGCGAACGCGCTGGACCAGGCAATTAACGCGTGCCTGCCGCTGCGGGGGTGGGCCTGTCGCGAATCACCATGCGCTTGATGTAAACGCTAGCTGTTTGAGCAGGAGTTGGACGACAGAGGTCAGCGCTGTTTGAACCGCACTGTTGGGTTTGGTTCAAAAGCTTGGATGGCTATAAACTAACCGGCTGGTTTGTCTAGTGTTTGGTCAGTCGGGTGGCAATGGTGGATGGCCCGGTTCAAGGTAGAATAACAACAGTGTCATAAAAAGAACCAGTTCATTATCATTCCTCATCACAAAACTCATATACACGTAAAACTCTTTATCTATTAACCCTACGGCCTCATGGCCTCGGCAAACAACTCCCGCATCCCCTTGAGCAGCACCACCAGCTCCCTCGACTCGTTCGCCCTGTCCAGCACGCGCTCGACCTTGCCCTTCTCTAGCTTCGGCCTGCAGTGGCGTATTGCAAAGTCGCGCGCGGCCGTGTCGAGCTCGAACCAGGCCTCGGCGTCCCAGTCGCGCTCGTCGACG